GCAACAACAGCAGGATTCTTCTGCAGAAAGCTTTATTCTTCAGCTCTTTGTGAAACAAATGAGTTGGGCAGGACCCAGAGGGGAAGGAGAGGCTTGCTTATATAGTTCTCATGCTCTGACCTGGTTGGTGCGGCTCCATATGCCTTATTAGCATAACCATTTGGTGGGTCTCATTGGTCCTTATGCCAAGGCGCAATTAGCATGTAGTTTAGTGGTGTGGGATGATTTGTCATTAGGAAGTTCGGGGCCTTCCGGCTGCCCTGCATTGGGCGCTATTTTCTGAGCGTGGCTGCCAACAGTACTGGAACTCTTTTATGTAAGTAGCTGGGTTGGAAGGGAAAGAGCCTAATCTTTTCTCAATTTGAGACAGATTGGAGAGAGAGAAAGGGACATGGACCCAGATGACGCCGTCTGTATTGGCTACTTCCCATAGTGGGGCTAGGATCTGGGTTCGAGAGTGAGTGACTGGAGGGCTTGGTAGGGGATCTCGGGATGGAAGGGAAACTGGTTGCGGTAGAGGAGGTGGGGTTGTTGCCCCACTCCTGATGGGAGCTTGTGGTGGGAGACTGGGTGGGGGTTGAGGGGGAGGAGGAGAAGGAGGAGGTACCATGGGGATTTGGGGTCAGTAGGGTGGGAGTTCGACAGCGGGGTCAAAGTCAGAAGATGTACTGGGATCTGGTTTGTTGGAGGGTGAGGACTTTAAGGCAAATAGTAAGTGTTTAGGATTGCAGGAGCGACAGAGAGAAGGCTTGGTTCAGACGTAGGAGAAAGCCTGGATATATGAGATCTCTTTCCATTTGCCTGTGTGCTCACGGAAGTTGCATAAGTCATGGAGAATTTTAGGATCTAAAGAGCCATTGGGAGGCCATTTAGACTGATTATCCAAGGAATATTGTGGCCAGATCTCATTACAGTAGCAAACAAGCTTTAAAGGTTTGACGTCTGGAGTGAGGTGGAGGGGTTTTAAATTGCTAAGCACCCTAGCAGTGAACCTGCAGGAATGGAGGGGCCAGATCCCATGGTGAGAATGAGACCATTCACAAGTTGTTGAGTCATCCCAGAGCAATTGAGAAGGCCACGGAAAAGACCAGACACAGTTAGGGGGTCGTCACCACCTCTAACCGAGCAGTAGAGGCGAAAATGCCGAGGAGGCTCAGTACCTCATACCAGGAATTTACAAGTAGATAAAGGGAGACGGGGCCTCAGTGAATGAGGATTCTCACCATGGGGAGGTAGAGAAGAGTTGACTATGGGGATCAACCGTGACTCTGAAAGTTGTGGTTGGGGTGCCCCTGTCCTAGAGGAGCCCTTGGGTGTGCAAGACACTCAACTGTCACTTCCCAGGTTCCAAAGGGACATTTAAGTAGACCATGAAGGGGAGACTCACCAAATTGAAGGCCAGTGTTGTGCGAGAAGACGAGCGACTGGGGAAGTGGATGGTGAGCCCGTGGAAGAGGATCGGGCAGTGAGGGTTCCCAAAGCAGCTCAGATTCCCAGAGGAAGAGCAAAGTTAATGGGAGCACCTCATCCAAGTCACGGCACCAATGAAAGGGTATCTTGCCGTGACCCTCCTTACCCAGAAGGACTCAGGGGACACGGGCCCATGCAAGAGGTTTTATTATCTAAAAGAGAAAGTAGCTGCCACTAGAGAGAGAGAGTGAGCAGCCGCGTGGTGCAGAGCGTTGTGCCTTTTGTGGGGGCAGAGTGGAAAAGTACTGCTTGGCCTGTTGCCTTGGGGGTGGGTCGGAATGTTTAGAAATAAGGTGAGGCAAGTCCAGGCAAGCCCCAGGCAAGTCCAGGCATGATTTTCACTGGCTTACGTGCTTGGAACCATGGAGTAAATGGAGGATAAATTACTATATCCTTATAAATAGTTTGCTGAGGTTTTTTTTAGCATGCTCTCATTTAATCATGTATTGTGGACATCACTGCATGTTAATATAGATATAGCACATTATTTTCTTTCTTAAGAAAACATGCTAAAGGAAATATTTACAGTGCAAAGCATGTCTTTTTTTAAGGGAAAACACGGAAGAGGAAATATTATTTATAGTACTAAGCATTTTTTTAAGGGAACAACATACATAATGTTGTAAGTCTGAGGAAAGGAAATCCTGGGACAAAATACCTCTAAAACTGGAATCAAGTCAAACGGAGAAATAAAGTTTAAAATTCATTTATTGCTTACAAACTGTAGTCAGGGGCCTTCTCTCCTTCCTGCTCCAGCAGAAGCAAAACCAGCCCTCTCCCTCACCTCTCAGGTACAGATAGGCCCTCTGTTGCCCAGGTAATCACCCATTGATACAGAGATGAACTTCTCTCCACCCCTGAGGAAAGATGCAAATGCACTAAAGCCATACTTCTTTCCACCTCTGAATGCTTACTGATATGCAGATGTACTAAAGCCAGGCGAGATATTCTAGAAATATTACAATTTTACCTACAACGTGCATGTTACATCTTAATAAATTTTTACATATGTAAATGTCTTATCTTGGGTTGCCATACAAAATGCCATAGACTGAGTGGCTTAAACAGCATAAATGTATTTCTTAATATTTGGGAGGCTGGGAAGTCCAAGACCAAAGTGTCAGCAAGGTCGGTTTCATTCTGAGATCTCTTTCTTGAAGAGTAAACAGAAAGAGAGCTGGAGAAAGAGAGCTCAAAAGCTCTCTGATGTTTCTTATACTAATCCTACCACATCAGGGTCCACCCTGATGACCTCATCTAACCTTAATCACTTTCTGAAAGTATCCAGTGAAGTTGAATTGGGGGTTGCCATCAACATATTGAATTTGGAGGGGGGTGGGGGAATGGGGGAGCACAATTCAGTCCATAGCAGTAAAGCTTATTTTTTTTAAGGAGAATAAGGCTTTACATACTGTATACTTGTTAAATATCTTTATACATAAAACAAAATAAAGAATTAAAGGATTTGGTTGGATAATTTAGGAAACATGTGAATCCTTTGGAATTTGTTACCTACTGGAACATAAGCTCCATGTGGACAAAGATTCTTGTCTTTTCTAAATTTTTTTGCTAAATTTCATGTCTAGAACAATGATTATCACATAACTGGAGCTCAATATTTATCAAATAAATGACTGAATCGTTTATCTTTTGGAGGAGGGAGGCAGCATCAGAATTTAGGAGCCACATGAGTCATTAAGACAGACTGACTTGATTTAATCTCAGCTCTATCACTAGCTCTCTTACCTTGGACAAGTTATGTAAACTCTCTGTGTCTTCAAAATGGGTATAGTAGGCTTGTAACAGGAATTACACACTTGAAATGTGCCGCCAAACGCTGTATCCCACTGGAATATTCAAAGTAAGGCAGTATGTTTGCATTTCCTGAAACTGCTTATTACTTGGATTTAAAATCTATGAACCTAATTTGAGCCCCTAAATTAGGTCTATGTGCATGCACCATCTATAAAATCACCTGCTTGTGGTGATAGTCTTTGGAGCCTGGTATGATTTCTAAAAATACAAACTTAGTCTCCTTTTGTCATTAGGTACTTTTTCAGGGAAAGCAAGCTTAAAGTACAGCTGCTAAGATAGAATCTTTAAACTTTTGGATGATGAAAAGGGATTCATAAAAAAAAAAAATTTGAAGAGCCTCTGCTTTAGTCGCTCCATATATAACAAAAGGCAATTCTTTTAATTTCTTATTAATATATTATAAATTTTGATGTCTTCATCAGTTGTACATTATCTCTCTTCTGAGTTTGCTTCTGTTAAATTAGAAGCTTCTTCTGTGGCCCAAGGCGGGCCTGCCTAGGGGTAAACTACAACTCCCAGGATTCCCGGGTGGGAGCTCCTGGGAGTTGTAGTTCTCTTCACACTCTGCTGCTGCCCACCGCCCCCTCCCGCGCTCCATCGACTCCTACACCCTGAGTACCGGCTCGGAATAAGTACTGTGCGCCGTAATCTCCTGGGAATTTCTTTCTCGCTTTGTCATTTTTGTTTGTTTCTAGGTTTGTTATATTTCTCTCGTTTCCTCTATTAGCTCACTGTAACGCAGACTCAACGAAAAGTGACCAGACGCAGGCGGAGACGGGAGCGAGCGTTTACCCGGAAGTGAAAGCCGTCCCGTGTCTGTCGGGCTGAAACTTAACGGATCACCGAAGGTTCCGACCTCAGAAAGGCGAAAGCTGCGGTCCTTCCTTTTTCTTAGGTATCTAAATCTTTTTCTCTTTTCTGATCTTAAGAAGTCTTTTTTCTTACCCCATTTTTTCCCCCATCCCCTTATGGGATCACTCTGTGTAGTGAGTTACACAGCTGAGTTTGCACGTGCTGTTCTCGCGCGGGCTTGGTGTCACTGCCGACGTGCGGACTCCGCGAATTGTTCCTAGAGTAGTGGAGTAATCCTGTTACTGTGGTGGGTGATGAGACTTGCTGTTCTCAGGTATAGGTAATCCTAAAGAGTAAATGTCTTGGCTTTTGGTTTTCTTCTCTTAACATGAAATTCATGACCTTGAAAGTTAGACATTTTAGCTACAAGTGTTCCAACAAAAATCTGTTCGTCATCCTTCTAGTCTTTCAGTTTTCAAATGGGCACACCTGCTCTGATGTGCTTGAGACTGGATGGCAAGACACACAGAAACCTCTGCTGGAGGACTGTACCACAACAGGTTGCTGGGCACTGGTGCATTCTTCCAGTCCTTTTCCAAATTTGATCCAGTATGTTAAAGTTCACATGTAAAAACTTGCAACCTCTGAATATTTTAGAGACCATTCTGAATATTTTATTTCCTAGAAGTTTGATATCTAAGTTGGCACACTTATAAGGATCAAATGAGTTAACATGTGAATGCACCTCCTAGCACAGTAGGAACAATGGACACAGGGAAGACAATTTTTGATACTTAGGGACAAAATAAATTTCAGCTTTGCACCTCAGAAGTTTAGGGACAAAGTGGTTTTTTTTAGACCACTGTATTCTTTTTCCTTTCTTAATAAAAACGGTTGTGCGTACTTATGTTAGCTTTTAATTATCTCTGTTAAAGGGGAGGAGAACAGATAATTATTGTACACAGCCATTTTCACCTAATTTGTAATTTTCTTTAAGTATTTTTTTTCTGATTGTAAAAGTAGTAAGTACTACATGTATAGAAGACTGGAAAACACTAAAAAGAAGAAAAAATAGAAAGCAAGTTTAAGGTATCCATAATTGCACAACTAACAATCATCTCATTAACATTTTGGCATATTTCTTTTTTAGTTTTTTTTTTTTTTCAAAATATTCTATGTGCCTTTTTTACACATATACCATATATTGTAGAACATTTTGAAAAGCTAATTGAGACTATATTGTTCTGCATCTGCTTTTTTCATTTAATGTAATTACCACTATTGTTCCTTTTCACAGACCTTCTACTTTCTTAGTCTGTTAATATTTTGAGGTTTTCTTTCTTCAGCATCCCACTTAAAAGAGAAGCACTTTTGAAGAGTAATTGCAGAACTGAGAATGAAAAGCACTGAGCTTTGAACAGGCAACCTGCAATCTAATATCAGCTCTGCCCCTCTCTGGCTGAGTGAATGATCATGATTAAGTTACTCGACTTCTTGGACATCTAGTTACCTAAAATTAAAGAATTAGGCAAAATAGTTATTATTGCCTTCACATTTTAAAATCTATGAATAAGTGAACCACTTAAAGTTTGCATGATTATTTCATATCTTTCAGGTGCTTGTTCACATACTGAATCCTAGAATCTGGATGCTTTCTCGAAAATAGCTGATTTATTCCATTTTATAGATATATTTATGAATGTCACACATACTCATTTCCTGTAGTTAATTACATAGTGTGAGTGAGTAGAAAACAGTGCTATCTTCATTTATTTTAATATGTTATATTCAGAGGTTTGAAGAATTATTTTCTTTTTGTGGGTAATTGAATTTTGGTACTATTGGGGCTGGCTGAGGCAGTGAATTGAGCAAGATTTCTTGAGACTCATTCCTGCATTTACATTTGCAGAGTTTTTTCCCGATTTTTCTCAAATTGTGTTTATTATATTTCAGATGCTGAGATGAATCGTCACCTGTGTGGTTGGCTTTTTAGACATTCCTGTCTTAACAGTCATGGCCAGTGCTACATCCACCCCCATTCTCATCAGTTTACACAGAAACGTCTTGATACAAAGTTTTGGGTTTTTAGACAAAACAGGAATCACATTCTCCATCATCTGTTAAATAAGAATCAGTCCAGGAGATGCTATCATGAGGTCACCAGGATGCTCTGGAAGCATAAAGCACTACAGAAATATATGGAGGACCTGAATAAGGAGTACCGAGCACTTGATCAGGGTTTGCAGCATATCTCTGTGAATGAAGGGGACCCAAAGTCCTTCAATCGAAGGCATGCTGAGTTGGCACCGCTTATAGCCATTTACCAAGAAATTCAGGAGGCTGAACAAGCAATTGAAGAATTAGATTCAATGTGCAAAAGTAGGTAAAAAAATATGAGTCTATACAAGCATATGATTGATTTTCTAAGTTACAAGCTTTATTGAACTCATTCTTTTTAAAAAGCCTGCAAGTAATAAGCTCTACACTTGGAGAGGACAGGACTGTACTCTGGGTGTTTGCAGTATTTCAGCTCCTATAAAAATCAACTACTAAGAGACCAAGTGCCTCATGGTGCTTGCCAAGAAGTTCTTAGTGTCTGGGAGACTGAATATTGACTTTTTCAGAAGATTAATTTGTTGAATAGATCTTTACTGAGCATTATCGTACATTTCAGGGACACAAAAATACAGTTCCTACCCCCATTAAAGGCTTATATGGTCTAGGTGTGATTTCATCACCCTGAAAAAGAAGTCCTGTACCCATTAGCTATCTTGTTCCAATCTCCTCTTGCCTACTAACTCTAGGCAATCACTAATCTAATTTCTGTCTCTGTATATTACTTGCTTCAGGCATTTTATATGAAAAGAATCATATAATATGTTGTCCTTTGTGACTAGCTTCTTTTACTTAGCATATTTTTAAGATTCACCTATGTCATAGCACATGAAAGTACTTCATTTCTTTTTTATGCTGAGTTATATTCCATTGTACGGATGTCCCATATTTTATTTATTCATCAGTTGGTGGGTATTGAGTTGTTTTTTCCACTTTTTAGTTATTGTGAATAATGTTGCTGTGAACATTGCATACAAGTTTTTTTTTTAATTAAGGGTATCATTGATACATAATCTTATGAAGGTTTCCCATGAGCAACATTTTGGTTTCCACATTCACCCATATTATCAAGTCCCCCACCAACCCATTGCAGTCACTCTGTCAACATAGTAAGATGCTATAGAGTCACTACTTGTCTTATCCGTGCTTTACTGCCTTCCCCATGACCTAGCTATATTGTGAGTACCAATCATAATGCCCCTTAATCCACTTCTCCCTCCCTCCCCACCCACCTTCCCCAACCCCTTCCCTTTGGTAACTGCTAGTCTCTTGGAGTCTGTGAGTTGGCTGTTGTTTTGTTCCTTCAGTTTTGCTCTGTTGTTATAGTCCACAAATGAGTGGAATCATTTGGTACTTGTCTTTCTCTGCCTGGCTTATTTCACTGAGCATAATACCTTTGAGCTCCATCCATGTTGTTGCAAATGGTAGGATTTGTTTTCTTCTTATGGCTGAATAATCTTCCATTGGGTATATGTACCACATCTTTGTCCATTCATCTACTGATGGACACTTAGGTTGCTTCTGTATCTTGGCTATTGTAAATAGTGCTGTGATAAACATAGGGACACGTGTCTTTTTGAATCAGGGATTTTGTTTTCTTTGGGTAAATTCCTAGGAGTGGAATTCCTGGGTCAAATGGTATTTCTGTTTTTATTGAGGAACCTCCATATTGCTTTCTGCAGTGGTTGAACTACTTTACATTCCCACCAGCAGTGTAGGAGGGTTCCCCTTTCTCCACATCCTTGCCAGCATTTGTTACTCCTTGTCTTTTGGATTTTGGCCATCCTAACTGGTGTGAGGTCATATCTCATTGTGGTTTTAATTTGCAATTCCCTGATAATTAGCGATGTGGAGCATCTTTTCATGTGCCTGTTGGCCATCTGAAGTTTTTTGTAGAAGTGTCTGTTCATATCCCCTGCCCATTTTTTAATAGGGTTATTTGCTTTTTGGGTGTTAAGGCATGTGAGTTCTTTGTATATTTTGGATGTTAACCCCTTGTCGGATATGTCATTTACAAATATATTCTCTCATACTGTAGGATGCCTTTTTGTTCTGCTGAGAGTGTCCTTTGCTGTACAAAACTTTTTAGCATGATGTAGTCCCATTCATTCATTTTTTATTTTGTTTCCCTTGCCCAAGGAGATGCGTTCAGGAAAAAGTAGCCATGTTTCTATTCAAGAGATTTTTGCCTATGTTTTCTTCTAAGAGTTTTATGGTGTCACTTACATTCAGGTCTTTGATCCATTTTGAGTTTACTTTTGCTTATGGGGATACACAACAATCCAGTTTCATTCTCTTGCATGTAGCTGTCCAGTTTGCCAACACCAGCTGTTGAAGAGGCTGTCATTTCCCCATTGTATATCCATGGCTCCTTTATCATATATTAATTGATCTTATATGCTTGGGTTTATATCTGGGCTCTCTATTTTGTTCCACTGGTCTATGAATCTGTTCTTGTGCCAGTACCAAATTGTCTTGATTACTGTGGCTTTGTAGTAGAGCTTTAAGTTGGGGAGTGAGATCCCCCCTACTTTATTCTTCCTTCTCAGGATTGCTTTGGCTATTTGGGGTCTTTTGTAGTTCCATATGAATTTTAGAACTATTTGCTCTAGTTAGTTGAAGAATGCTGTTGGTATTTTGATAGAGATTATATTGAATCTGTAGATTGCTTTATGCAGGATGGCCATTTTGACAATATTAATTCTTCCTATCCATGAGCACGGAATGTGTTTCCATTTATTCATATCTTCTTTAATTTCTCTTGAGAGTGTCTTGTGTTTTCAGGGTATAGGTCTTTCACTTCCTTGGTTAGGTTTATTCCTAGGTATTTTATTCTTTTTGATGCAACTGTGAATGGAATTGCTTTCCTGATTTCTCTTTCTGCTAGTTCATTATTAGTGCATAGGAATGCAACAGATTTCTGTGTATTAATTTTGTATCCTGCAACTTTGCTGAATTCAGATACTAGATTTAGTAGTTTTGGAGTAGAGTCTTTAGGGTTTTTTTATGTACAATATCATGTCATCTTCAAACAGTGACAGTTTAACTTCTTCCTTACCAATCTGGATGCCTTTTATTTCTTTGTGTTTTCTGATTGCCGAGGCTAGGACTTCCAGTACTGTGTTGAATAAAAGTGGGGAGAGTGGGCATCCTTGTCTTGTTCCTGATCTTAGAAAAAAAGCTTTCAGCTTTTCGCTTTAAAGTATGATGTTGAGTATGGGTTTGTCATATATGGCCTTTATTATGTTGAGATACTTGCCCTCTATACCCATTTTGTTGAGAATTTTTATCATGAATGGATGTTGAATTTTGTCAAATGCTTTTTCAGCATCTATGGAGATGATCGTGTGGTTTTTGTCCTTCTTTTTGTTTATGTGGTGGATGATGTTGATAGATTTTTTTAATATTGTACCATCTTTGCACCCCCGGAATAAATCCCACTTGATCATGATGGATGATCTTTTTGATGTATTTTTGAATTCTGCATGCTAATATTTTATTGAGTATTTTTCATCTGTATTCATCAGGGATATCAGTCTGTAATTTTCTTTTTTGTGGTGTCTTTGTCTGGTTTTGGTATTAGAATGATGCTGGCTTCATAGAATGAGTTTAGAAGTATTATGTCATCTACTTCTTGGAAAATTTTAAGGAAAATGGGTATTAGGCCTTCTCTAAATGTTTGATAAAATACAACAGTGAAGCCATCTGCTCTGGAGGTTCTGTTCTTAGGTAGTTTTCTGATTACCGATTCAATTTCATTGCTCATAATTGGTCTGTTCTGATTTTCTGTGTCCTCCTGGGTCAATCTTGGAAGGTTGTATTTTTCTTGAAAGTTGTCCATTTTTTCTAGGTTATCCAGTTTTTTAGCATTTAATTTTTCATTGTATTCCATAATAATTATTTGTATTTCTATGATGTCCCTAGTGATGTTTCCTTTCTCAATTTTGATTCTGTTTGTGTGTGTAGACTCTCTTTTTTTCTTGATAAGTCTGGCTAGGGGTTTATCTGTTTTGTTTATTTTCTTGAAGAACCAGCTCCTAGTTTTGCTGATTATTTCTATTGCTTTATTCTGTTCAATATTACTTATTTGTGTTGTGATCTTTATTATGTCTACTTTATTATTCTACTGACTTTGGGCCTCATTTATTCTTCTTTTCCTAGTTTCATTAATTGTGAGTTTAGACTGTTCATTTGGGATTGTTTTTCTTTCCTGAGGTAAGCCTGTATTGCAACATAATTTCTTAGAACTGTTTTCACTGCATCCCACAGGTTTTGGGGTGTTGAGTTGTTTTCATTTTTCTCCATATATTGCTTTATACCTGTTTTTGTTTGGTCATTGATCCGTTGATTATTTAGATGCATGTTGCTAAGCCTCAAAGTGTTTGTGGGCTTTTTCTTTTTCTTTGAATAATTTATTTCTAGTTTCATATCTTTGTTGTCTGAGAAGCTGGTTGGCCCAAATTCAGTCTTTTTGAATTTATTAAGGCTCTTTTTGTGGCCTAGTATTTGATCTGTACACAAGTTTTTGTGTGGCCATAGAATACTGAGTTGTATAACACCATACAACTAACCTTTTAAGGAATTGCCAGAGTATTTTCAAAAGTGGTTGCACCATTTTACATTCCACCCCCAGTGTATGAGGGTTTCAATTTTCCACATACTTGCCAACCCTTGTTATCTACCCTTCTGATTCTGTCTATCCTAGTGGGTATGAAGTGATATCTTACTGTGGTTTTGGTTTGCATTTTCTTGATCAATGATGTTGAACATCTTTTCCTGTGCCTATTGGACATTTGTGTATAATTTTTGGATAAATGACTATTCAGATCCTTTGCCTATTTTTTAATTGAGTTATTTGTTTTTATATTATTTAGTGTAAGATTCCTTTATATTACAGATACAAGTCCTTTGTCAGATATATGGTTTACAAACGTTTTTTCCCATGCTGTGAGTTGACCCTTAAATTTTAATGATACCAAATTTATCTCTTTTTTCCTCTTGCTGCTTGTGTTCTTTGTGTCATATCTAAGAAACTGTGTGACCTAAGTCATAAAGGTTTATATTTATGTTTTCTTCCAAGAATTTTATAGTTTTGGACTTTACATTTAGGTCTTTGATCTGTTTAAGCTAATTTTATATATGATATAAAAGCTGTTTGTTTTTAATTTTATTATTTTGTAATATTGCTGTTGCCTAAACATTTTTTCTCTTAGGAAAATTTTTCAAAATATACAGAAGTTGAGAGAAAGTACAATGGACTACTGGGTTTCAACATTTATCCAGATTTTGCTATTGGTTTTTAATTCCTAAACTCTCTTCTGTGCTCCATTCTGTTCATTGAGCCTTAGAGATGTTAAGCAATGTTGAGGCCAGTCACAGTTATACTTGTAAAGTCTGAGTTTTTTCTTGCTTTCTATTAGTGGTTCCACGAATCTTTCACTTACATTTAATGAGGATTATTTTTTATTATTTTGCATTATGCTACTCAAAATTGTAATTAATTAGTTTTGGAGAAAGTTCCTTGCACATAAGAAAATATGCTTTCTAAATTAAATTGACATGGCCTCTTTCAGCCCTGGTTGTATCATGTGTAATGTTAGTAGAGATTTTTCTCAATTTTTGAGAGAATAGGATGCCAGTGGTCACTGAGCCATAAAAGAAGAGCAAGGATGTAAACTCAGTTGATTAGACTCCACAGCTTCTGTTCTTGTCCACTGTACAATGATTCAAAGCCCAGTAGTCTACCTCTGTAATCCATCTTGGCATGAGTCCCCTTCTCTTCTTCACTAATGTACATCTTCAGTATATCTCACTGTAAATGATCACAGTAAATGCCTAGCTTGTAGTGCCACCTCTAGGCTTTCCCAGTCCAAGTACAACCTCCATCATGTTACTTCCCTGCTCAGGATTTTCAGTAGTTAACATTGCCTGTAAATACAGATTTCTTGGTTTGGCATTAAAGAGCCTCTGCAGAGTGATCCTATCTCTTTGTGTAGTATATTAATTCCCTTTTCATATTCTGCCTTCCAACCAAAATAGACAACCTGTCATTCCCTGGATACACCCGTGCCATCCAGGTCTGACTTTACTCACATTGTTACTCACCATTTTCACCTTGTTAAAACTCAGTCTTCTTACAAAGTGTGGCTTGGCTGTCATACTGTGGCTTCAGTCCCCTCTGTAAAAACAAGGGTGGTTACCTTTCTCGGTTTTGTATTCTGACCATTTTTGTAATTGTCTTAACCTCCGCTCCTTCCCCATTCTCTGTTCCTCAAGCACAGGGCCTGTGTCTGATTTATTTTTCTATCTCCTGACCACCAGAGAAGACTAAATAGGCTCTCAAGTCTTTGTTGATAATGAAATTGAATTAGGTTGGATTTTATAGTTCAGTAAATAATAGGAGGCCACAAAAACTAATTTTATCTGATTGCAAATTAGAAGGGTTTTCTAATTCCTCCGACCCAGCAGATATCTAAACTGAGTAATCTGTAGCATATGTGCATAATGTGGAGCCATTCATGCTATTACAATTCTGCAACAGATGATTCATAATTAGAATTTAGGTCAGATAGTGCCTTATAACCAGGAAGCCTTCCTCAAGTACTGAAGGCTGGGTTAAATCCCCTCCTTTATGCCTCAATAGCACTGCCTTAGCACATATTGTAATCATGTGAACATGTCCATCTTCCCACCAGACTGAGCCACTTGAGGCCTGGAACCGTATTTTATTCATCCTTGTGTCTGCAACATCCTTGTTTCTAGCAGAGTCTGGTGCATAGTAAGTGTTAAATGTTGAAAGCATGAATGATGCATAGAATCCCACAAGAGCCTAATGACTTCCATTTCCAGAGAAGAGTTTTAAAGAGCCTTCTCTCTTTTATCATTTTGATTCTTCCCTTCTAGTTTCTTTATTGTTATTAAAAATAAAATTTTCTGCCTCAATTTGCAAGCATTGCCACTGACACATGGAGTCTCTCTGCATCTGGAGCAGTGGAATCGACAGTTGTTAAGATCCACCATGTTTGGCCACTGTATCGCTATTAGCTTTTTTTGTTAGAGCTCCATGATTTCACTTTCTGCTTTTGAAATGATATGAAAAAGACCATTGTTTCCATAAAGCAGAGGTTTCAAAGATGTTTTGTTTGACCTGTAGTGTTTTTTTCCTATGCATTTTTTTGTTAAGGTATTATTGATATATACTCTTTTGAAGGTTTCACATGAAAAAACAACATGGTTACTACATTTACCCATATTAGCAAATCCCCACCCATACCCCATTGCAGTCACTGTCCATCTCCATCAGTGAAGTAAGATGCCACAGAGTCCCTATTTGCCTTCTCTGTGCTATACTCTCTTCCCTTTGACCCTCCACACCATGTGTACTAAACGTAATACCCCTCAATCCCCTTCTCCCTCCCTCCACCTGCCCTCCCACACCCCTCTCCTTTGGTAACTGCTAGTCCCTTCTTGGAGTCTGTGAGTCTGTTGCTGTTTTGTTCTTTCAGTTTTGCTTTGTTGTTATAGACCACAAATGAGGGAAATCATTTGGTACTTGTCTTTCTCCATTTGGCTTATTTCACTGAGCATAATATCCTCCAGCTCCATCCATGTTGCTGCAAATGGTAGGATTTGTTTCTTTCTTATGGCTGAATAGTATTCCATTGGGTATATGTACCACATCTTCTTTATCCATTCATCTACTGATGGACACTTAGGTTGCTTCCATATCTTGGCTATTGTAAATAGTGCTGCAATAAACAGGGGTGCATATATCTTTTTGAATCTGAGAAATTGTATTTCTTTGAATAAATTCCTAGGAGTGGGATTCCTGGGTCAAATGGTATTTCTATTTTTAGTTTTTTGAGGAACCTCCATATTGCTTTTCACAATGGTTGAACTAGCTTACATTCCCACCAGCAGTGTAGGAGGGTTCCCCTTTCTCCACATCCTTGCCAGCATTTGTTGTTCTTAGTCTTTTCAATGCTGGCCATCCTTACTGGTGTGAGGTGATATCTCATTGTGGTTTTAATTTGCATTTCCCTGATGATTAGTGATGTGGAGCATCTTTTCATGTGTCTGTTGGCCATATGAAGTTCTTCTTTGGAGAACTGTCTCTTCATATTCTCTGCCCATTTGTTAATTGGGTTCTTTGCTTTTTGGGTGTTGAGGCGTGTAAGTTCTTTATGTATTTCTGATGTTAACCCCTTGTCGGATATGTCATTTACAAATATATTCTCCCATACTGTAGGATGCCTTTTTGTTCTGTTGATGGTGTCCTTTGATCTGTAGTGTTTTCAAAAATGTTTACTAGGTCTGAACATTTTAAGAGATTCCAGAACTTATAAAGTTCTATTTCTGACTCTTGAAAACACTGGAGGCTCTATCCATGCCAGAGTCCCCACAGTGTGTTGAGTGATAGCTGCCACCTTGAGGCAAGAATGATCACCCCAATTTATTCTACCACTTACCTTACTTGGGTTTATATTTAATTAACCATTCCCTTTTTAAATTTGATTAATCACTGATTTCTCTAATTATGTCTAGACTTTCAAATCACAAACTCTTTTGAGCAAGGTCATACTTCTCTTCACACTGAGTTTTTTGGACATGCTTCACAAATACTTAACTGACACTTTCTAACTATTCTAACTGCTTTTGTATAATCCCTTGCCTTTGTCACTGAAAGAAATCAAAGTAGGCAGAGATTAGATAAGTATTTAAGGGTTTCTCTGTAAGTATTCGAAAAGTTTTACCATTATTTCCATTTCCTGGTTTGTAGGTCTAACTAAACAAGATGAAAAGCAGTTACAAGAACTTGCAGTGGAAGAGAGGCAAACCATTGTTCAGAATATCAGCATATTATACAGTGAGGTACGTACTAGGAGGTCAACTAATCTCAATAGGGTTAATATGAAGAAATACTGTTCTTGGCTAGGCTGTGCCTTGGTGCTCAAAGTACTTCCCAAAACTATTTATTAAGTCTCTCTGTGATAGGTGACTAAGCTGGGCTTAGTACTGTAACTTACTACAAAAGGAGATTGAAGCAATTGTGATGCAAAGAATAAAACAACTGTCCTACATCCACCATTTCAACAATATTACAAAGCTGCTAACTTGCTAGGCAAAGGAACTTATGCTGGTGAAGAAACTGAGTTCACTAATGGGAAGAATCAGCCATTTATAAGTCTCAGTAAGGAGGAGTGGCTCATAGTTATTGTGTTAATTAAGGATTGAAATTTGGATTCTGCATAAAATGGAACAAATCCAAGGGTATCGAGACAGTTGGTTAACACAAGCCTTTAGCACCTTCTAGCTCAATGGATGATTTGTCCAAGACAATGAAAAACAGTATCATGACCAGCTTTCCCTCTGTCCTACTTGCCATCCTCCTGCCTTCAGTCTTCCCTACTCTAGGAATCCAGTAGAGGGGCTTGTGGAGGGTGCTGCGTACATATCAGTTATTTTTATCACTGATTTAAACAACTAATCAAAGGCAGAAATGATGTATGTGACTCATAGTCTAATATTTTCTCCCACAGACAATATCGTTTCTAGCAGAGAGGGAGTGTTTTAAATATTGTCAGTAGGGAGAGTTATGACACATTGGTACTTTTGGTTTGCTTTGAAAGACTGTTCAGTAATAATAAAAATAAAATTGCTTCCCTCTTATTTCTAAGAAGGAAGTTGGTTACTTTATTAGGAAGCCCCTTCTATTCTTGTCACAGTTGAGCCTTGCAGTGGGAGTCGTCAACATACTCTAAACAGAACAACTCTACTAGGAAGGCAGGACATGGTCTGGTACTGCCATCATTTACGCAAGGAGACAATATGCAGTCCTATGTAAAAAGTCCTTATTTTCTTCAGATGAAGACTTTCAAAGCTTTACTCCATTCATTAGATGAAAGAAGCTACTGTTCAGAACTAATAAGAGGCAAAATCTGAAGAAAATTGCACAGAACACTCTTAACTTTGATCTAAACTTCTGCATTTTAGAATATTAAGATACCTGATAGCATAGTAGAGAATGTCTTGACAAGTAACCTCATTGTTAACATGAATTGGTCATTTATTTTAGTTCTGATTAGGTCTACTTATTATAGCAATTTAGGACTAGCCCTCATTGGGGTGACATGTGATTTTGTTCATTACTGATTTTTTAATGATTGAGGGTCTTTTACCTAAGTTCAAGAAATAATAGTATTCTATGGAAAATAGACACACTGATGCTCATTTTTTTTTCTTTTTTAGCTTTTCCAGAGTCTAGTGCCAAAGGATAAATGTGACAAGAATGATGTTATATTAGAGGTGACATCTGGAAGAACTACTGGGGGTCAGTAAAATAATTTTATTGTAAATGGCCTTAAAAAATACTTAAATTTGACCTTGATGTGAAACACTAACTTTAAAAGCCTATTAAATGTGTTTCACTGTAGATATCTTTACTCCCCATTTCTGAGGACCCTGTACCTTAGACTGGCTTTCTTAGAAATTTGTGCTGAATACTTTTTGTATTTCGTTTTAGGTGATATCTGCCAACAATTTACCCGGGAAATATTTGACATGTACCAAAATTACTCAAGCTATAAACACTGGAAATTTGAACTTCTGAATTATACACCAGCTGATTATGGTAGGCAATGTATTTAAGGATTTTGTCCATAGAAGATGATGAAATTTATTTCACCTCTGATCTTGTTTAAAACCCTATTGTCTCATTTTTTAAAACATTTTCTATATCTATTGAGTAGTATGACATAGGCTGATCAGTCACAGTGGCTTACTATAGTAGAGTTCATAACTGGGAGAATAGAGTCGGAAGAAGGGAAGGAAGGAATATCTGAATTACAGAATATTTCCTTGTGGAGGACAGATACATACCTTGCCTTGAAAATCATTGCTCTCTGTATTCAAAGCAAAGATACGTTAAAGTTTTTGTGCTAAAGAACCTTATCATTTATGTGATACATGGGAAACTCTTACTGTTAGAGAAGTGGCTAATGATGTGTTTGTAATTTAGAGGAAAGCAGAAAAAGGTCATTATTTGTCTTCATTTTCAGGAAGCATCCATTCTAGTTGGGCTGATAAAAAGTCATACAACATAAACAGTAACAAACAATGCAAGTTCTTAAACTTTTAAATATGCAAGTATGTTAAATCAGAACATCTGATAGTAATTCTTTTTTTCCCCATTCTATTAATCCATCTAAAAGTTTTTGTCATCTTGATTATGTAGTGATATACTGTAGCAGACAGAGGGGTCATCCATAATAAGCCACAAGCTATCAAAGTGGCGGAAGAGGATTAAAGTAAATTAAGCAGTAGAGGAAAATGAAAATCAGTACATAGCATAAGTAAGTTGTGCTTACTACAGATTTTAAATATAGTTAGTACCCTGGAAAGGGGAATATTAGTGACAGCAGACAGAAGACACAACCTGAGCAACAGCAGGGTGGTGGGATCTTGGTCTGTGTGTAGGAGAGCGAGGAAGCCAATTTACTCAGAGCATATTTGTGTGGAGAAGCAATAGGAAATAGGTTTGAGTGGGTAGAGTTTAAACAGCCTTGAAAGCTGAATAGGGCTTGACTGTTAGGCAATAGGGATCTGTTGTAGATTTCATTAATAAGAATATGATATTTGATAGCTGTTAGCACAGAGATAATGACCGATGCTGAGAGAATCAGTGAGGGAGCGTCCGTGGAGAGGGCACGGCCGGGGCACTGAGCCTGGAGAACAGCCACATTCACAGAAGGTGCACTAGTCGGCAAGAGCACGGTGGTCAGAGAAGCAGAAAGAGGATGAGGACGATGTGACGTGGAAGCAAGCGAGGGCGGGGTTCCACAGTGACATCACCAGGAGCAGCAGCCTCATGGAAGAGAGTATGGCGGGGGCCGTTGTCAGCGACTCCAGGGGTGCGTGTTTTGAATCCAGCTTTCATTCTGGAAGGAAAGGGAAGCGAACTTGAGGACAGGAGGAAAGGTTCCACCTCAGGTGTGGCTTGAACAACAGCTGGAAAAACTTTCTTTTGGACATACTGACTCACTGGCAAAAATAAATATATCTTAAAAAGTAAAAAGGCCTTTATTTAAAGGAGAAAAATTTTTAATTGTTCACTCATATACCTCTAAAATTAAAGACTAAGAGTAAATCTCTATTCATTGAAATTACAAGATAATTTTAATCAATTTATTATAATCAGGAGAAGAAAAAGATATGAATAGGAAGAGACTAAAATGGGGAAAGAGGAAAGAGCCCCTGTCTTCTAAAATGTCTATTCTACATGATATATATGTTATATAATATAGAAGTGTGTATGTAACACCTTTATATATATATATATAAAACACACACATATATAAAACAACACACACACACATATGTATATATATATAATATGTATGTTTTTTACGTATAATTGAAATAGGAACTCCACAGAGATTCACACAGCACTAAAAGCTAAGGTTGAAAAGAAACACACTTTCATACAAAAATTCATATGTCCAGTGACTTAAAAGCGTGTGGATGTGTGACTGCAGGTACAGACAGGGGCGATTCTCAGCTGTCACAGAGCAGTCCGAGCTTAGTGGCCACTGACAGTCTCTGCGGAAGCCGGGGAGGGCAAGGCCGGGTCCGGCACCGTGAGTCTGTGTCCACGGTGCCTGAGGAGCTGAGATATTTTCCAAGTTAAAGGGATTCTGTGAAATGTGTTACATTGTCTCTCCCTTCCCAACAGACTGAGGTTTATAATTATGTTTTGTTATTCTCTGCTCATCAGTTGAATTCAGGGAGAGGTCGATTACAGTAATGTGATGGTTATTTTTATACGTCCAGAAGACATGCATTTCACCAATGGTGAGAGATCTGTGAGGGGAGCCCTGGCACCCTTGAAGAGTTCTGTGGTCACTCTTCTCTGTAGGCAGACCTTCCAGTGGGGCTGGAAACTGAACTAGAAAACCTAAAGGCAATGGGAGTAATTGGGTCATAACGTGGCAGGGGCCAAGCAGTGGCGCTCACGGCCAAAGGCAGGGTGGGCACGGTTGCTCTAATGCGCAACAGAGTCAAGGCAACAGTTAGCATGGTCTGAATGTCACAGACCTGTGACCTTGGCTAACTGATCACAGTGTCCCTAGAAGTGTAACAAATGGGAAGTCTACTCAGTTCTTACTTGATCTGTGTGAACAGAAAAGTAAGTGAACAGAGTCTAACTTTGATCATAAAAAAACAGAAGTCATGGCCCTTCAGTCAGTTCAGACTTGAGCCAGTTTATAGACCCTCACCTCGTGAATATAGGGGAGGCTGGGTTCCCCTTGAGGAAGGACCCCAGTACACTGCCAAAAATTTATTCTGCTAATCTTTTGTGTAATCTTCCACAAAGTCACCTGTGGCCTTTTACCAGGGAAACTGTGGCCTGGAAAAAGGAAGTAACCAGACCTTTCAGGGACTGGATACTGGCTCTGAACTAATTCTGGAAGATCCAAAATACCACTCTGTCCACCGTCAGAGGAGGGGCCTGTGGAGGTGGAATTTTAGCGAAGTCCTCAGGGTGGGCCCAGTGAATCCCTGAACCCATCCTTTGGTTATTTCCCCAGTTCTAAATGCATCTTTGGAACAGATATACTCATTAGCTAACAGAATCCCCATATGGGTTTCTTGACCTGTGGAATGAGGACTGTTATCATGGGAAGGACCAAATGGAAGCCACTAGAACTGCCTCTTCCTACGAAAATAGTAAACAAAGAGCAATACCACATTCCTGGAGAGTTTGCCAAAATTACTGTCACCATCAAGGACTTGAAAGATTCAGGGTTGGAGATTCCTACCATTCAGCTTGCCTATTTGGCCTATGCAGAGACAGCTGGATCTTGGACCATGACAGTGGATTATTAATAAGCTTAACCAAGTGGTGATTCTAACTGTAGCTGCTATACCCAATTTGGTTTTATTTTTTGAGCAAATTAACACCTCCTGATACCTGCTATGCAGCTATTGATCTGACAAATGCTTTTTTCTCCATACCTGTCAGCAAGGACCACCAAGAGCAGTTTTCTTTCAGCTGGCATGGCCAGCGATACACCTCACTGTCCTACCTCAGAGGTATATCAGCTCTAGCTCTACGTCATGATTTAGTTCACAGGGATCTTGATTGTCTTTCTCTTTCACAAGGTATCATACTGGCCCAGAAAAGCTGACGGTGTAGTTCCAGTTACTACTTATGCTCATCAACAGCTAAATGTCAATGCTGCTCAGTGCTACACAAGTGCTTTCTCAGTTATTCCTCACAACAACCCTTGGGTTGAATGCAGGGCTGTGTGCAGTATGAAAGGCTGTCCATTCAGGTGTGCAGTGCTGTAGCCCTAGTTATATATTACTGTCATTTACAAATAAGGACACCAAAGCATGGATAAATTAAGTAACTCACCTGTGGACATTCAGCTAGAAAGATGAGGAGCTTGAATTTGAACCCAGGCAGCCTAAGATTGACTCTATTATCTATAGAGTCAAGTTGCAACCTTCTCCTCTCCAATGAATATGAATTCAAATATTGCACTCAATAGGAAGTAAAGAGAGTACAAGGAATAATTTTAAAAGTACAGAGTGAGGGTGAGATGGGAGGTTTCAATTGTTGTGGCCTTACTCTATTCAGTTCCTGTTGTCTCTCATACTATGACCATCTTACTCCACTGAGTGTAAATGGTAAACAGTTAAATTTTTCATACTATCTGACCCCTAAATGCATGCCAGCTTCTTTATCTCGTATTCAAGAAGATGAACAATAATCTCTTCTGTTGTTGGGGTGAAATCAGCTGTATTGTCCATTCCTGATGTTATCTTCTTAAGGCATTTTCTAGGGTAGTCTATAACTTGACCCAGTTTTCATCTACCCTGCTGACTTCAGAAACTAGGTGGGTTAGGTCTGACTTCATGATACTGAATCTTTGTTAGAAGCATATCAGGAAAGTGGCAGTGGCACTGGGGGCAGTTTCCAGTCCCCCTGAATCCTCACATAAAAGCCAGCAACTGGACAGCAAAGCCAAGGATGTACAGGTGGTATTTATGCTAAAACTAACTGCACCATGACACCACTTTGTGCTGGGAAGAAACGGAGTTCACTCAACGAACTCGGTTAAGGTTTTTATAATCAGCAACACTGACTTCAGTAATAATTCATTCAAGTATTCAGGAAATATTCTTCCTATGATCCCTTTCTGAGGAATCTGTTGGAAAACAAAATTTCAGACAACTAAAATACAAAGTATCAGCATAAGAGGTAGAGGTGAGCCTTAAATATGTGGTTACCTGTAGAACTAGGTCTCACCGAGGACTAAGGGAAAGAATACAAGTATGTAAGACCATTTGTACAAGTGTACAAGTGTAGTATACGACCATTTGAACAATGGTGGGGGGAATGGAAGAACATACTCAAGAATGTTTAAATGTTTTTAGTAATCATATTCGTGGTAGAATTACTATTGTGATCCTGAGACTGTTGTATGTGTAATATGGGATAAAATAGATGAGTAATTATGGGATGTTCTTTTTTTGATTTAATTTTTTACTGAAGTATCATTACACAATCTTATATTGGTTTTGAATATGTAACAGAGTGATTCAACAGTTACCCATTTTATTAAA